TGAGGTGTTGTCAGTGTAGATAAAGTTTACGGTGGTAGGGCCACGCAGCAGCCTCGGCTGTTGCACGAACGGGCAGGCCCGTCCGGGTAAGTACCACGACCTCACAGAAGACCAGCGTAAAGTGGAAGTATGACAAATACTTTCGCGTTTCGTCTGGTGAGTGAGGTAGCCGGAGCCCAATTTTCAAAAGGTTGTCAACGCATCTGTAACCCTCGGGTGTGGCAGATGTCCATGGGCGGCGGTATTCACTTAACATCAGGTGAACCGTCTGCTCGTTTGACAACTTTTGGCATAAAAAAAAAAAAAAAAAAAAAAAAAAAAGTGCTGGCCGTATTTCCCGCCACGGTTCCCTGAACGACATCATCCGTAGGGCTCTTGTTTCCATCAATGTTCCATCTATTTTAGAGGCCTGTGGCATTTTCGCGACGATGGTAAGAGACCCGACGGTTTAACATTGATCCCTTGCGAGAGAGGCAAAGACCTTGTTTGGGACGCCACTTGTGTAAACACTTTGGCTACCTCTCATCTAAGGGGTACTTCGGTCAGGGCCGGGGCGGCATCGGAGGCAGCTGAAGTAAGTAAATGGCGCAAATATGAGTCTTTATGTTTAGATTATGTATTTGTGCCATTTGCTGTTGAAACTTTAGGACCGTGGGGTCCCCACATCAATTTTTTTTTAAAGTTTATATCCTAGGTTTAACGCCGTAGCTGGTGACAAGAGAGCTGTTTCTTTTCTCGCTCAAAGGTTAAGCATAACTATTCAGCGAGGAAATGCAGCTAGCGTTCTTGGCACCATGCCGTGTGGATTAGGTTTATTAGATAATATGTAATTTTAGATAGATTTAATCTTGTAAATATTAGATCAATTATAATTATGAAACATAAATTAGAATTAAATAACATTATTCTGACAATGATTTTTATGTTTTGTGTAATATAGAACATCTGATTGTTTAAATCTTGGTAGTAACGCCACCTGTTGACGAACTTTGGAAAGTGTTGTTTGTTTATTAAAATAATTTAGTTATTTGTGTAAAATAAATAATTTGGAGTTATGAAAAAAATCATTATAATGTTAGTATTGATTTTTGGAATATATTTCGTAATTAATTGTACATAATGAATTTATAATTAAAGTTGTAAAGGAAGTTGCATTTGTTAATTGTTGAGTTTAATGACAGTTGGTTTATATAAAAGGGATTGCAGCTCACATTCAGGCTAGTTCTGTGCTAGAAATCATCTGAAAATAAACCAAGTGATATTACGTGTGTGTGTTTTTATTATAATGGAGTCTGGACAGGATATTTCCGGCCTATCCCCGGCATGTATAATGTGACTATAACAAAAGGTTGTACTGGTTTATTTCCCACTGAGGATATGTTAATAAGATTAAATTCTAAGGATGAAACTCCTTATTGCATAAATGAATTATGCCAGAATTAGTCTTCATTGCAATGCTAGCAAAATGTATCAACTCATTGAGGGCTGGGGTTACTAGCAATAAAATAGCAAGACTCACTTCACTTTGCCTGAGCCTGTCATCACCATCAAACTAATTGGATGTCTAGGAACCACTGTGCATTCCATACTTTAGCAAAGTTTTTCTTTGTAAATTTCATAATTACTCAGATTCATTGTAACAGTGACTGTACTCTTTGAATCACATTACTTACCCGCAACATGCGCAGAGTTTATCTATATATGTAAGATTGTATCTCGTAACTCTATACAGATTATCAATTTCATCAACAAATTTTTGTTTAAACTAACATAAGCAACAAATTAAGATAAATTATTATATGTATTTTAGTATATAATGTATTTTAGTTTTGTACAATTACTTTTGTAAAAAAACCATAGAAACAGGTGATATATTATATAAGAAAACAACATTTTTACTGAAATCATATAATTGTTTACTAATGAGAATGTTACTCGATTGTTTTTCATTAATTTTTTTCAAAACAAATTATATAATTACAAAATTTATATCAAGACTGCCTTTTTAAGCTTAAATTAAATCATGAGCAAAATGCATGAATCGACTTTATATGTAAGATAGATATATGGAAAAACAGAACATATACCATAATTTGTTAAATTTTACATAAAATAATGGTACACATAATTTTAAAATAACAGTAATTTGATAATATTTTCATTCCTTAATACATTATGCTTGTATGAGCTTGGGGAAGATAACTTTTCTCAGCAAATTCATAAAGATTTACCTAATTTACAAAATATTTTTATTTATTTAAAAACCAGTCTGGGTAAAACTATTGTTACTTATTGCTACCTTCGATTGTTACCTCTTTGATGCCCACGACCCCTCACATAGGTTTTATGGGTATGTTTACCTGTGTGTTCTTGTGATGGCCCTGAGAATCGCTCTTGCTTTTGATTAGTATGTTGGGCTCCCTGTCCACTTGCAGGTGTATTAGCTATGTGTGATCGTGGTCCAGGATGAGCCCCATTGCTACGTTCATTTGGTGGTTGTGTACTGGGTGGTGGCGCCGGAGGGGTTGGTTGAGGCTCACTCATATTTACCTGCTCATTGAATAGCATGCAGAACTCTCCAACCTTTTGAATATCACCAGATTTACCCGAATATAAAGTGAGTGCCGATCGCCACAGCGACGCATATCCTCGTGTTAGTCGAACAATATCACCCGGCTGTAGCAGTGCGCCTGGTTCGTCCCAGACGGAAAGGTTGACAGAGGCGGAAGCGTCTGCGACGCGCAGTGTCCGCACTTCACGCGCTTCCTTTGTTAACGTCGGTGGACCTACCTCCAGTACTATAAATATTGAGTTGATATTTTTCATACCCGCTTTTAGGTCTTTTATTTGAACATACTCAGTGGTGCTCATTTTTTCTTTAATAAAAACTTAATCAATGATAAATTCAAAGTAACATGTCAAATTGTTCTAATCTAAGTCATTAATATCTGACATAAAACTTTTAATAAATTAATTAAATCTCCATGGGTGAATCCATATTCCAGTGTATAAAATCGAAACTGAAGTTACGAATTTTATGTATGTATAGAAATTAGGATTTAAAATGATTTAATTTAAAGTGGACGGTGAACTGTGAAGTGACACTTTGTCACTCTCACTGACATTGACATTATTCATTAGCATTTATCTGTCACTTTTTAGTATTATAATTTAACGTCTTTGGATTTCTCCATACATCAATAGTTATACCGCCATCTTTCTAATTTTTATGTTTTAAAAACCATAGAGGTTAGTAGAAGTAAGCGATACAGATACAAAAACTATATATTGGTATAATATCACCAGTAAGCCAACGAGTACTATATAAAAAAAAAGATAAAAACAAGAAAATAAAATTATGTAAACCGTCACTTGGGAACTATAGTACCTACGCGAGATAGAGTAAAAAAAAATCATATATCAACTAGCACGTTTTGTTTATAAAAAAAGCTTCATAGAGACGTTCTACAAATCATTCAACGAAATAAATTTAAATGGCTAAAACTTTTTTTTTATGCGAATAGTTGTCAAACGAGCAGGTTCACCTGATGTTAAGTGAATACCGCCGCCTGCCGTACTTACCCGGACTGGCCTGCGCATGCAGGGCCACGCAGCAGCCTCGGCTGTTGCACGACGAGGCTGCTGCGTGGCCCTACCACCGTAAAAATCATTACTTGTAGTTCTAAAATAAGTAGAAGTAGAGATATTAATTCACTTTACCATAGAATAAAATGTTAATATCGTACAATATCGCCCAGTTTCTGAAACTCTGATCATTGTAGAAGCAGCTGTCAAATGGCTTTTCAAATGTTATTTGAGGTGCCAATAGGATGGTTAAACTCTGAATTGATCAGAATGATCTTGCATTAGCATCTCTACCAAATCTGTGATTCACAGCTTACCCACCATACTCGGGTGTCAGATTTGATTACGATCGTTCGATCGTTATTAAATAAGAATTTTGTCAATTATCGTAAATTAATGTAAATAATTTAAGTCCCTTAAGGATAGTGAATGGGCCCACTATCCTATATGCAGTCCTGCAAGGAGTACTACCAGACAGGATAGTGAATGGGCCCGTTAAGGCGCGTCTTGCTCAGTGCTACCAGAAACTGTACAGGCCTGTGACACCATTCACAATCCTGCATACATCGACGAACTGCACGGCGGACTGCCAGGGGGGATAATGAATTGGCGCCTTTAAATCTATAGTTTTGTAATAATCATTATTTTCGCAAAAATTTAATTTTCTTAAGCGTGATTATTCTAAAAATTGTCCATCTTTCATTATCAGGGGGTCCCAGAGATGCAGTAGAGCGAACTGCAAAATTGTATCATTGTCGTGCAACAAATAATATGTTCTACTAAGGTGATGCTTTCCGGCCACCGAACTAATTAAAAACTACCCCACAAAAAATTTGGAGGGTGAATATTTGTAATATACTTAAAAATAAAGGTGGTGACTAGGAGCTGGTTGTTGACTTAGCAGCTTAGCGACATCTAGTACTCATTATTAAGATGAGGAGTTGAACTATGGAGAGTAGAGATAAGGAGATTCTTCTCTGAAGTCTGTGTATTAAAAAGCTTATAAAAATTATTAAATATTTTATCATAATAAATCTGTTTTTGGAATAACAGTTAAAATATTGGTCGTCTAAAGAGATCGAAAGAGTATTTTTTTATAAAATTAAATTCACTACAAAAATTTTTATAAAACCAACATTTCCCCTGCAATATCCATCACTGTATTTACATAAAATTCATTTGTAGTGAGGCAAAAATCTAGCTAATGGGTTTTAACTTAAGATTTGGGGACAAATATTTTCGAGATTTGGTAACACTGTCGCGAGTGAGTGAAGTGTTTTTGTCAATGTCATAAAAATTTAAATTTAACCTGTATTTCTTGTATTTTTGCATGTTTACCTTAATAAAAAAATAATTTCGTAGTTCATAACTTTATTTTTTCATGTATGCGATTTATCAAAGTGTAGCGTCCCAAAATGTTTAATCAGCTTGGTGGTGGAACTAACAATCCTAACAAAGATGTGGAGGTTACATCTCCACCGGATGATACAGTATCATCTCTCGAGTTTTCACCACCTTCTGTGCCCCAAACCTTTCTTGTAGCTGGCAGCTGGGACTGCCGGGTAAGTGTTAATGACTTGAAATTAATTTCATCATAATTACATGTAAACTGACACACAATTTGTAACTGCTTTATAAAAGCCGGCTTTTGTATGTTATACTCTTAATGTCCATTTTAATTAATAACTATTATTTTAGTGTCCGGACGCTTGCTTTTAATTCAATATACTCAAGTACTCTGTGGTGGCAGTCTGTCGGGGAGGCCCATGTTCAGCAATGGACACAAACAAAAGCAGAAGTAGTTCAAATCCCAGTCCCGGCAATGAAATTTTTAATTTTAAGTGCACGGCGGTGAAAGAAAACATTGCGAGGAAACTGTTTATTTTCGAAATAATTATTAGAAAAATATATATTTCTAAGATATGAGAAGTTTGCCAATCTGCAGTAGGGTTACATGGTGACCTAACACCCTGCAACCTTTTATTGCTAATAAAAAGATAAATCAATGGACAATATTTTATTATCATTTTCTTTTTATCTACAGGAGTATTTCATTACAGCAATATTATTTGACACTTGCTTTATTTGAAGACATGACTATCTTGAGGGTGGTGCTGTTTAATAATATAGTAAATAATTACTGTAGACAAGCATTATTTTTCAGGTAAGATGTTGGGAAGTGGAGGCTTCTGGCAAAACTGTTCCTAAAGCAGCACAAGGCATGGATGGACCCATTTTGGATGTTGCCTGGCATGATGTTTGTATTTTCTCTTTTTATGTTCATTTAATTTTTAAAATATTGTTGTGCAATATTGATCAATCATATTTATTCCCAGGATGGTACAAAAGTCTTCATGGCATCAACAGACAAGAGTGTCAAATGTTGGGATCTAGCTGCTAATCAGTGTATGCAGGCAAGTTGGCTTGGAATAACATATAAAAAAACAAATTTTTATGAACAAAATTTAAGTGTTGAAGTAAACAATATGATGTTTATTCAAACAAAAAAATATTATTCCACATGAAATATTAGTTATCAATAATAACTAGTTGGACATTATTTATTTATCAATCATTATAATTAAATTCAACAGAGAAACATATCAGTTCCCCACAGATGATTTGTATTTTGTGTGGAAGAGGTTGGATAGCAGGTATTTATTTTTTTCTTGCAATAAAATATAAAAACTGTAGGATAACAATACCCTGTATTGTAAGAACATTTTACATATATAAATTTCATGTGGACAATTCATCAACTATAGATAATTCTGTTTTTAACTAATATTGCAGGGGTAGTCAGTGATGTCAATGCACAACTTTTCCATTTTTAAAATTCTTATATACAAAAGCACCTCACATTTGTGTACTGTGTAAAACAACAGGTCTGCTGTCAAATTTTAGGAATAAGTTTGTGATTTGTACATTGCAATGTTTTTGTAAAATACATTGTGTTAATTTAATATTTATAAAAATGTTTGCATATAAAAGAATTAAACCAAAATTGAATTGCTTTCAGACATTTGTTACTTCATGAAAATTGTACCTGATAAACTTCAAAATAATGTACATATACAATTCCATGAATCATATACTTTTTTTTTACAAAATTTTAGGATTATGTAAAAATATTTCAAAGAGTCCAAAAACCTAATTAAATGTCATTTCCAGTGAAAAATTTATTGATAATTACACTAAAATATTGTTCAAAATATTCCTAAGAGTCTCACCATATGCAGGTGGCAGCCCATGATGCACCAGTCAAGGCCTGCCACTGGGTCAAAGCACCAAACTACAATTGTTTGATGACTGCCTCCTGGGACAAAACACTAAAGGTAGATAGATCATTACATGTATGAGATTGCTTGCCACAACTTTTAATAGCCAGACAATAAGCTGTTACATTTTACATAAAAAATAAAATGTAACAGTTTTATTTTATTAAACTATAGCATGTGGACCTGAAGCAGCAATCTACAGAAAGCTCAATATATCAAAACAAAAAATTTTTTTTAAAGACACTACTCTACTTCCTTTATGTATTGTTGAGTTATTATAACCTAGAACTGTGGTAGGACCACGCAACAGTATTTGCTGTTGCAGAATGGGCAGGTCCATCGGGGTTAGTACCACGACCTCACAGAAGACCGGCGTAAAATAGAAATGGTATACTTCTGCATTTCGGCTGGTGAGTAAGCTAGCCGGGGCCCACCTGATTAAAAGGTGGCAGCACATCTGCAACCGCTGTTGCAAATGACTTAACATCAGGTGAACCGCCAGCTCATTTGCCACTTTTTCCATTAAAAAAACCTGTCCCTGGGCAAAAGTTTTTTTTAGAATACCCAATAATAGCCATTGTAGCTCAGCTACCTGGTGCATGTGCATTTTTTATTCAATATGTTCGAGCAATCAGAAAGCAGTTTGAATACCGCAGTTCAAATCCCAGTGCCAGTATCAACAAAACTGTTAATTGCAACTGTTAATTGTACAGAGTGACTTAGCACATGCTCGACGGTGAAAGTAAATATTGTGAGGAAATTTGCATGCATATTCTCTATATAATAAAAGAATTTTTAATCTGAAGATATGTGAAGTCTGCCATTCTGTAAAGATGTCACTTGGTCACCCAAACCGATTTACAGTCTGCAGTTTGTGAGCACACTGTAAATCGGCCCAACCACTACATCAGGTTTGATAGACAACAGATCCTTGCAAAAGAACACCGATTCCTCCCGAGGATGATTCGTGAGGCTATAGAAATTAAAAAACACCCTAATTTCAATAGAGAAGAGGGTTGGGTACTACCATCAGCTTGTGATCCTATCATCAATAAAATTAGATCTAAGCCCAAAAGAACCACTACTGCAAGACAAGATACAATTAGCTCCCACTGCATAGATCGGACACAAAATCAATAATACAAAAACTGACGGTAGCCCGCGTTAACTTTGACAATCAGACGTCTAACGACTAAGACTATTAGTTAGAACTGATATAGTCTGTAAAAATCGACAGGATATAGTGGCACACTCTGTCGAACGTTCTATTGAATTATCCTGCGTTGAGAGTCAACAGTATATTATAGTATGCGTATACCGGCCCGCCTCAGGTGATTTCGATCAGTTTGAGTGTGTAATGGATGATGTTCTTAAAAAACTATGTTCAAGTAGTAAATCATTAATAGTTTGTGGAGATTTTAATGTTGATTTATTACAAGTAACACAACCCAGTAAACGACTTTTAAATTTATTTAACTCATTTGAACTTAAAAATCTTTTTCATGAACCAACTCGTGTTACTAACTTATCCTCCTCATGTATAGATAATGTATTCTGTCACAGTGATGTATATGATAAATATGTTATAAATCATCTGAGCTCGGATCACTTTGGGCTAAAATTTTCAATAAATGAAAAAGCTAATACAAGCAAACTTAAGATCAAGTGTAGACCAGTCACTACTAATAGAATAAATGCTTTTAGAGATAAAGTGGCACATCATATGTTAAATAAAGATATAGGAGTCAATAACCCTAATGACTCTTATAGATCAATGGTTGACTTTCTCATATCTTCTTATAATGATACTTTTAAATCGCGCACAATTGTTAAGAATTCAAAATTAAAATTTAGTGACTGGGCAACAGTGGGTGTATACAAAAGTAGGGATTCATTGTATGAATTATATAGTATGAGGCAGTGGAATCACGATCCTAACTTCCTTAAACGGGTACAAACATTTTCAAAAATATTTAAAAAAGTCTGTATTCAGGCAAAATCTATTTATATAAGAAATAGCATAATAAATTCAAACAATAGAACTAAAGACACATGGGACATCATTACCCGTATATCTGGAAGAACCAAGATATTCAGGGAACCTATAAAACTAGTTATAGGTAATACTCCCATAATATCAGATAACGAAATTGCGAGTAGTTTCGAAAGCTATTTTTCAGACATTGCGGTTAATGTCACACGTACATTAAAATCATCTCCCGCAGACGCAATTAATGTTTTAAGAAATAATGTTACCCCTTGCCTACACACATTTAAATTTAATCACGTAGATACTTATGATATTATAAAAGTTTTGAATTCTATTAATCTTAAAAAATACAGAGGATTTATGGGGTATGTCCATAAAATTAATGAGCACAATAATGCCATATATTGCACCACATTTGGCTTCTATTTTTAACAACTGCATAGATTCTGGAATATTTCCAGATCTTATGAAATTTAGTAAGATAATACCTGTCTACAAAAGTGGTGATAAAAATGATCCAGGCAACTATATAGACCTATTTCCATATTGCCATCTCTTAGTAAAGTTTTTGAAAAGCTAATATTAAATCAACTTTTAGTTCATTTTAATGTGAACAAAATCTTTCACGATGAGCAATATGGATTCACTAAAGGCAGATCGCTGGGTCCCAGATGAAAATGGGAGTCCCACAAGGATCAATCTTGGGCCCATTATTATTTTTAGTATATATTAATGATCTCCCCTTTTATGCCAGTGGGTTGTGTGATGTTGTACTGTTTGCTGACGATACATCGCTTATTTTTAAAGTTGACCGAAACGTATTAAATTATGACGACGTGAATAGTGCACTTTCACATATCCTCCACTGGTTTACTATTAATAATATGGTATTAAATGCCAAAAAAAACAGATGTATTTTTTACCCTTCCCAGTATAAGAAGGAAAAGTTTTAGTTTAATATTAAATAACGTACCCATTAATCCAGTTGAGTCTGCTATATTTCTGGGAATTACAGTAGATTCAAAGCTCCAGTGGAGTCCCCATATATCATCTCTTGCGAATAGGCTGAGCTCCGCAGTTTTTGTGATTAGAAGGGTTAGGCAGCTAACAGACATCGACACTGCCAGACTTGTTTACTTTAGTTATTTTCACAGTATCTTGTCTTACGGCATTTTGTTGTGGGGTAGTGCATCAGATATAAATTCTATATTTATTCTTCAAAAAAGAGCTGTCCGAGCAATCTACAATATCGGAGCCCGGAATTCACTCAGAGATCTTTTCAAAGAGGTTAATATACTCACTGTTGTCAATACATTTGTTGTAATGTTTTGTATATACGTCATAACCTTAATTATTACCTAAAGAATAGTGACAGACATAAAATAAACACTAGAAATAAGGAAAAACTTACTACGCCATTGTTTCGTCTACAAAAAGTAAATAACTCGTTCATGGGGCAAAGTGTGCGCATGTATAATAAAATCCCACAGTCGATATTAAGTCTGCCGCTTGACCAATTTAAATGTAAAATTAAAAATCAACTGATGATTAAAGCATATTATACCATTTCGGAATATCTCGACGACGCCAATGTGTGGAGTTAATACTGTTGATACTCACGTAGGCTAGAATAAGACTATTATACCTGTATATTATATTGTACCCTGATATTTTCTTGCCGGTATCTTCTCAACAGAAACCGCTTTCCGAACCGGTGGTACCTTACGAACCTATACACATAATCTTTGATGTAAAATTTGACGATACATAAGAGCGCGCAAGCGTCTATTTGAATAAATATATTTTTGATTTTAACACCTCAGTCTGTCCCGTGACCATTAACGCTGTAAAGGGTTCGAAACGTCGGGAACTAAAATTTAAAATAAACGCGATAAATCCGTAAAATTAGTTTCATTTATAACTAGATATTAGTACAATATCTGAATATCGCTTACTGGCTCGTTCAATATCTATGTATTTTACAATATCTGATATTTCCGAAATCTGATGTACCGTGCTCGCTCGCTATACCGATACGAATCGCGATATCATACGCGTTTGCCACAATATCTGCTTTTTAAACAGATTTCGAGAGACAAAGCGCGTGAGATACAAATACTCACTAGTTAGAGAGGGACGGCAAGCAATGCACGATATCAGGTTTCGAGCGACAAAGCGCGTGAGATATAAATACTCACTAGTTAGAGCGGGACGGCAAGCAATGCACGATATCAGATTTTTAAACAAATTTTGAGCGACAAAGCGCGTGAGATACAAATATTACACTAGTTAGAGCAGTACGGCAAGCAAGGCACAATATCAGATTTTTAAACAGATATTATGAATAAGTTAAGTAATTTTGAATCTTAATGCCATGCAAATAAGATCCGTTTCAATTAAATACTAATCATGGTATCTACAACGATATTATTAAGTATATTTTTATTGTTTTGTTTAGCCTTGAGCCGTAACGGGCGACAAAGCGCGCAGTTAGGTAATTTTGAATCTTAACAGCATGGAAAAAAACATTTTTAGTTGCATTTAAATACGAATTACGGTATTAACGATGTCTTTAAATTTTGTTTAGCCTTGAGCTGGATTGCATTGGTACCTAGCACGTAATAGTAAGGGATGCCAACTTACTACTTAAGAATTTTCTGCCTAAATTAAGGAAGAAAAATATAAATGGAATTTTTTTAGGAGGTAAATTTTTGGTGAATATTTTTATTAGTTAAATTTAATTAATATTTTTGGAAAAAAAAATAAAACTACACAAAAAGAAAAATATAATTTAATAGTGCTGTGCTGCTTGGGTGGAAATCAGGCCAAGGCTTATGTGCTTTGTGTGTATATTTTAAATTCTTCCGCCCTAAGTTATAATACTGAATGTATTATTTCTTACACAAATTATAAAAATATTGTCACTCATGATTGCGTGTTCTAAGAATATGTTAAAGTCAATTATTAAACGATATATAAGATGTTAAAATAAATCATTTTTATATATTATATTATATTATATTAATATATTATAATATATTATATTATTATATTATATTATTATATTATATTAATTGTATTTATAATAAGTATAAAATATTGTTGAATACATTTTTTTTTTTTTTTTAGAATTCAAGGTGGGACCGTAAAATATCTAGATATTAAAATACATAGTTTCGAAATCTGATATTTGAAATCGAAATCTGATACGGTACTCAGAAAAAGCGATACGACCCATCTCTAGGAAGTAATAATAATGATGTTGAATCGTGATGTTATGTGGCTACTCGAGTCGATTCGCAACTTCGTTTGTGGTCTGAACTAATCCTCTCCTTTTTCTATACACCTCGACCTCGAACAGTGTCCGACGGTTGGGATTTCAAAGACAAAATTTACAATAAATTGGCACTAGTGTGCATTTTATTTCGAAAATCAATCAATAAAGGGTATATTATTCCAGCGCAGATCTCAACATCGTGTTTAAGAAAATACGACAAAAAAATACCGCCATCTATCGCCTCAAAGTCGTACTTATAAAATGTAATTGTACATAGTCGATTGCTTATCGAAAATAAAGTTAAAAAAAGTTTCTGTTTTTATAGCAAAGAATTCCCACACCACACTTCTGTTATTTGACGTCGCTACAAACAAAACAAAACAGATCACTAACAAATCAAAATGTCAGTTCGCACGCGGATCGCCAACGGCCAACTAATAAAATCAAATAACAAAATGTCAACCAAAAAACAAAATAAACTTTTAAAGCGGTTTATCATTTGCGCAATTCCGTCTCCGATCCTAGCCGAACGAGCCCGACTCAACCCGAGTTCTATTCGAGTTGATGCGAGTAAGATGCAACACCTTACGAACGGCGCGCGCGCGTGAAACGTAACTTTACATTTCACTCAACTCGAGTTGATGCGAGTTGCAACGAGTTGCAACGCCTGACGAACCGCGCGCGCGAGCCGCGTGTGTAACTCGGAACAACTCGTGAGGCCCCCGCGTCCGGCTTGCGTTCGGACGACCGAGTTGATTCAGAGTTGCTTAAAACTGAACTCGAGTTGACTCGTTTAAGGTTTGACTCGAGTTACTTGAGTCAAATAACTCGAGTCGCACATCGCTAAACTATATTTAATAACAACATTCTCAATTTCAATTTGACCATTTTGTGTAAGATCTGTCACACAATTTTCAAGCTAGTCGTTCTAGTAATTAATGACTCTGTCTTACTGGCTTTTCCTATAACATCAATAGATAAATTATTACAGTATTTTTAATATTGTAGAGAAAAAATTTTGCCAATTGGCGGAACTTTATATTAAGTTTAAAGAATTTTATTCTCATAACCATAAAACCTAACATTGTCTCAATATGATTCAAGTGTTATTTTTGTAAACTAAATCATAATTTTGAATATAAGCAAATGATTATATATTTAAATTTATAATTTTATATTTAAAATTGAGATTATTTATTCTAGAATGCTATTTTTGAAGTTATACTTCTTTTGACGCGTTAGGGAAAAATGATGAGGAGTTTACGATACGCGCGCACACCGTCACAAATAACCGACACCCTGAAGTTAGCCACTCAAACGTCGACTTTATGACAGCTTGCATAAGGTCGTCCATTTCTTTAACTATGTAGAAATATTTTTTTTGTAATACTTATTAAAATAAACTTTATTTAACCAGACACTACTAAAACGCATTATGCGTTTTATAAAACTTTCAATGTATTAAAATTAAATACCTTTTTTCTATTGTAATTTCGTTTTTTCTACAAATAAGCGAAAGATAAAATTTTTGAAAAGATTTTTATCTTGTTACGCCAAAGAAATATTACTTTTAACGCGTTTACATAAGTACACGCCCAGGTTCTTTTTATTATTTTTATTACAGTTCTGGGATACACGAAGTGCAGTGCCCGTAATGACCATGAATCTCTCAGAACGATGCTATTGCGCTGATGTGGTGAGTTTTATTGGAAACATAATTGTTAAAATTGCAATATCTGTAAAAGAATTTCCAACATAAATTTGTAAAAATGTTTAATGATCATATTTTATATATATATTTTAGTAGCCTGAAGAAGTTTTAAATGTTATAAATAGAATGGATTTATTGGTGCAGGTTGACTATTGTTTGTACTATTGTCTGCATATATATATATGTATACTACACTATTGTCTGCTCCTGCACCATTGTCTTCAGTTTCAATCCTCCATCATTGTCTTCAGTTCTGCACAATACACATAGCAGTTATGCTCATGCCATTTTGTAAAAAGCTGTGATGAATCTCACCGACACCAAACGGTGACCATCACCTTTCTAGAGGTCATTTTCCTTTTAGGGCATTGCTTTGAAACTAAATGAACTGAACCAAGATCTAAGCAACTTGCTGTGCTGTTCCGATTGTCGAACAGAATCCATTTTTGTCCCACGTAATGTTATTCAGATCAAAATTCCTTATTTTCTGTATCTGTTGAACATCGCTTTCCAAACTAATGCTCAATTTCGACATCACTGCTCTGATCATAGTTTGTCTTAAACATTCATGTTTTTTGTCCAACTCTTTTCAAGCTCTGAAATTGTGAGCTAAGGAGGCTCTTACATGAGCCGTTTTTTAATTTTATTTAGTTAACAAAATTGTACTCAAAAAATTGAATACCTTTTTTATCAGGGTTATCTTTCCGCTTGACTATAATGGTGTCATCTTATTTTACAATACTTCTCCTATGGCTCTCTAGCACTTCCTTTGTCGTTAGACTGTTAGAGAACACCTTACGTCTTGTAAGGCGCTGTATGCAGTAAAAATAGGTTTTTCAAAAGATTTTTAGTAAAATCTATACACTTTATAGCAGCAAAAAAAAATATGTTAATCTTGATCTTACATTGTAATGGAGCATTGTTTTCAAAACATATCTCTATATATTTTCTCGATAGAAAAATTCATGAAACTACCTCTAAATGTTCAAATCTAAAAATGAGCATAATAACATCACAAAATCTTAATGAAATTAATATCAGTGGTGTAGAACATTTTAATAACAAGGATTGTTGATTGAAGTAAGATATTTGTAAATATTAATTTAATTCATTAAAATTAATTCGAAAGCGACGGCCAAAACACCGCGCCACTGCCGCGATGTTTCGGTTCTCTTCCAATTCCACACGTTGAACAGAGAGCGCTGAGGCGCGTTGCTCGATGGACCTATGTCGCTCGTCCTCCGCTCACCGTAAGGAAATATTGAAAAGAACAGAAAGAAAAAGTCTCGTTTCAACATGCCGCGTAGTTTTTAGTTAAATAAGAGTTCAGAACGAGTCGAGTGGTTCGATGCATGCAGGACTACCCCATGGCGGTGGTGGGCACCGCGGACCGCGGCATCTGCCTGTACACGCTGGAAGGCAAGCCGGCGGAGTTCAAGCGCGTGGAGTCGCCGCTCAAGTACCAGCACCGCTGCATCGCCATCTTCCGCGACAAGAAGACCATGCAGCCGACCGGCTTCGCGCTGGGCAGCGTCGAGGGCCGCGTGGCCATACAGTACGTGAACCCCGCCAACCCCAAGGACAACTTCACCTTCAAGTGCCACCGCGCGGGCGGCAGCACCACCGGCAGCTTCCAGGTAAACGGCTCGAACGGCGACGAAACGTCGGGACGTTCCCACTCTCCATTATAATTATATTAACAGGGTGATCGTTGGCAGGATATCTACGCAGTGAACGATATCGCCTTCCACCCTGTCCATGGCACACTGGCCACGGTCGGCTCTGACGGCTCTTTCTCCTTCTGGGACAAGGATGCGCGCACCAAGCTCAAGTCTTCCGAGACGTTGGACCAGCCGCTCACAAAGTGCGCCTTCAACCACAGCGGCCAGGTCTTTGCCTATGCAGTCGGCTACGACTGGTCGAAGGTAAGAGTAGTACAAAAGAATGCCTTTTCTCCATTCGCAACAGTTGAACGTCTTTAGTTCTTTAATTTACTGTATAACAACCAACATAACTAACTATTAACATTTTCTATATTTAAATTTAAAATTTTATATTTAAAATTGAGATTATTTATTCTAGAATGGTATTTTTTAAGTTATACTTCTTTTGGCGCGTTAAAGAAAAATGATGAGAGTAAATTTTTACGATACGCGCGCACACCGTCAAAAAAACCGACACCCTGAAGTTAGCCACTCAAACGTCGATTTTATGACAGCCTTTAATTATAGACTTTAAACATTTCTTTAATTATGTAGAAATATTTTTTTGGGATATCTAAATAAATTTTATTTAACCAGACACTACTAAAACGCATTATGCGCTATAATAAAACTTTCAATGTATTAAATCCCTTTTTTCTATTGTTAGTTTCGTTTTTTCTACAAATAAGGCGAAAGATAAAATGTTTGAAACGATTTTTATCTTGTTACGCCAAAGAAATATAACTTTGAACGCGAGTACATAAGTACACACACAGTTTTGTTTATTATATTTAACATTTTTAATTGGTTTAAGTTTTTAACCTTAACCTACGTTCCTAAGCAGTGTATGAATGTGTTTTAGGGTCATGAGCACTACAACCCCGCGAAAAAGAACTACATATTCTTGCGGCCGTGCTTCGACGACCTGAAGCCGCGCACCACCTAAGAGCAACTAGCGCTGCGCGGCCACCCCATGTGCTGCGATGCATAGCGGCTACTGACTAAGGACCAAGGGCCAAGGACCGTTTCTCTTTCTACTTGTGACCGTTGCAGATTGGTGTAAGATTAAAGTGAATGAATGTAGTGTTTATTTTTTCAAAACAAATCAGCATTTGTACAAAAACCGATCACTTAGTAAATATATGTAAAATGTTTGATTCACAGAAATCCTATCTTCCGAGTTAACCCCTATCCATAAAAGACTTCATATGTAAAAAGCATGATCTTTGAACCTTAGTGTAACTTGATACATGGTAAATATTAACAAAAGACTCAGATAATATTATTCAGTACATATTCACTCCCAATGTAGCATGGCTATGCAATGATGCTAATTAATTTCCTTCAGAAGACTGGCATGGTATAAGTGTTACACTTCTGAGTTTAGACTGGTGAGTGAGGTATCCGGGGCCCACTTTATAAAAAGGTGAACATTATCTCTTAATATCAAGTGAACCTCCATTTTGCCACTTTCAAATTGATAAGCATATAAAGTAAATAAATACACCAAAAAATTTTTTTACTCATTTTTTGTAATTAATTTATGTACTGACAGGAGTGACGTGAAACAAAGTTTAAATGTTATTAAATTAAATTCTCTTAGAAGTCCCAACTAAACTAATAGTAGCAGTTGCCATTAGTGATGCTCGTGCTCATCATCGCCGCCGGTAAGTTTGGTGATTGCAACAGTGGCAATGGTAAGACCCAGGCCTAGAGGGAAGCCACGGAAGAACAGTTTTCGCGCTCTAAGTAACCGAGTACCGAATCCTGGATGATACCGCCAAGCTTCATTCCTGAAACAATGCAATATATTTATATAAAAAACTGGCTCGTCCAGGGAATTACCGCAGACTTACAGACGACCAACGTGATATGGAATTATTAAAATTTTTTATTTGGTGACTGAGATACCGAAGGCCCCACATTTTTAAAGGTTGCCAATGCATAAATAAACCATTGAGTATTGTAGATGTCCATGGGCAGTATTAATTTAACAGGTGAACCACCTGCACAACTTTCACATGAAACGCATTTGTGTCAGACCAAGCCCTTTTCAAGCCAAAAAAGTACCTTTTTCAATTCAAGTGTCTTTGTCTTTGAAAGGGGATTTTCACAGTATGGCTTCTATGTTGTATTAATCAAAGCTATGACCGTTTACGTCAAGTAATAAAAAGAAAATAATGACATATGGGAAATATCGTAAAAATAATTCTAAATGCTAGAAAAAGTGTCATTTTGTCATGTCTTTGACATTTCTAAATCTGAGATTTTCAAATTTAACTTTGATTTAAACAAAGTTGTTAATTTGTGATGCATCATACTATGGTGTGGGTGCAGTAGTTGTACAAATGATGGAGGATAGGCCAAAATGGACTCTGAAAAAAATAGCTACTGAGATTAAGAAGGACTCAGTATTGCAAAAGGTTTTATTTCGCAAGCTACATAGTTGACATACTAATAATAGTGATCCTGTTCTCCACACGTATTGAATTCGCCAGGAGGCTCTCGCAGAATAAAGAATGTCTATTATGGTGCAAGAGTCATTGTGCCTGCCTTCTTACAACACCACCAGGTAGGTACTGTAAGGCATTTCTGGTATATTCCAAATGAATGCTATAGAATATATAAATTGGGGTGTTATGAAAGCATAAATAGAGAGTACAGAGGCAGACTGCCTTTTCTGATAAGTAGATGGAGTTGTACCCATGTGGATTATGTTGGGTTGTTTCATAGGAAAGTTCTTTGTTATTGTCGAGCTAGAGCAAATACTTTGTGGCTAAATACAGTAGACATATTATCAAATATGTGCAGCGAAGCTCTTATATCGAGTTATTAAATTTATGCCTCACAGGGACTGGACGAAAAATTAATTTTAGAAAATATACTCGAAAATTTTGGAATTTGCTTTACCTGATCCATGGGTCACGGAGACCCTTTTTGGCAAGAGCTTTTTCAAGCTCTTCGAGCTGAGGAATTCCCTCGATTTTGAATTGCTTGTAATCAGGTATGGTGTAAGGCGGACCATGTCCATGACCACCCATGTCTGTAAATAGGAATTTTCTAATAAACAGAGAATTATAATAACCTATATCAATGATTACATAACTTACAAACACAACTTCTAATTAGTGAAAATGTGCTAACAGCCTATAAAAAGAATAATATCTGTACCTGTTTTTTCTAGTTATGAAATATTTACGATAATGCGAAATTGAAAGAAAAATATTCGTTTCTTCAGTTATGACAGCTGACAGGCTGACAGTAACTTTTTTTATATTTTCTATATTCTTGATAGTGACAGTTCAAAATAACAGATCGATAATCTTATGACATTATTTTAATTTCTCCAGACTATTATATGTTTATGTATTACCTAAGAGACTATTCACCACTGCCTGTCATTACTTCGCGTGCTAACGCAATATTATGATGAAATGGTATTAATCTGATGATGGAGCTTGAAAGTGGCCAAAGGAACTTCTCAATGAAACGACACAACCTCATCGAGTTTGGGTTCATTTGTATAGTCTTGACGAGTAGTTTAGCTTTCAATAGTAACCAGGGTCTGATGATTTAACTGGAAGGTGGCCATAGGAACTCAGTAATTAAGCGGCGCCACCACGTCGAGATTGATTCCTCTTAATGTGTGAACCGTTTTTGATGGGTGGTGAGTAGTGGTGGTTTGTTCGACGTGAATATTATGCAGCACATTTTACAAACATAAATTTCACGTGAACACCCAGATGCGGAAAAAATATCTGTGGGTCTCAGAAATAGTTGTCGCGTGGAATAAATCCCACGATCCCGACGCTGAAGCCAACACCTTGGCAATTGCGCCGTGGAGTATCTATGTATTTATACATCGTCAGTTGTAATATCAATTAATGTAACCGCCAAAATGACGAAATTGGATTAAATATACAGTTCGACTGCAAATTTTATCGATGGGTATCTTTAAAATCTCGATATGATGAAAATAATGGCGATTAATGTTAAGAAATCCTACTGTTTTGAATAATTTTCATTCATTTTTGTGATGTATAATACATTTTATGAGAATGATCAAAGTATGGGTTAATATAACGACGAATTTGGCCCAATGTGAAACAGAGTCCGTAATGTAAGAGTCAATATTGTAAAAATGTAATAGCGAACTCATCATGCTGACAATAAATTCAATGAAAATATCAACAACTTTGTTAGGAAATACATAGAAGATTTGCCAGTACTATCATATTTATCTCAATATTTTTTAAGTGTGACTAAACTGCGCCGTCTTTACATATAATATTGCGAAAACAATTCACATGACTATCTGAGTGAACGTCTTTTCCGTAATTTTTCTATGCAGTTATGAATGAAAAGGAGACCCATGATTACAAAGATCATCTAAAAACCATGCTATAAACGAAGACATCAGAATATATATCAGGTAGACAAGGACAACTCTACTGTGATATTGATCTCCAGAAAGTCCTTAATACCCCACATGGCAAGAATATGCTGCTTTACTACTCAAGAAAGTGTGCAGTCTATAATTTGACTGAGTATGAAACCAAAACTCAAAATTGATTCTGTTACTACACCTGGGGAGAATACGATGGAAAAAGGGGGAGTAGAACAAGGATAATAAAAAAAAACATATTTAAATGAGATGCATGTAAAATTTATAATGAAAAAAAAAGTGTGTGCGTGTAACCTTTACGCGCCATTGAAGTAAAACTTATTTGGCGTTGACGGCATATATCACTGAAATGATTAAATATTAACTTAAATAAGTAATAAATATCATATTATAATTTAATTATATTTATTATTCATGTGCTTTACAAAGATTATTCAAATGTTATATTAATATTAAAATATGACATATACTTATGACGTTACCAAAGAGAATGTAATCACTACGTTTACACTTGGACGTTACTTCCGCCAGAAAAAGCGTTACTTCTGTCAGAAAAAAAAAGTGTGTGCGTGTAACCTTTACGCGCGATTGAAGTAAAACTTCTTTGGCGTTGACGGCATATATCACTGAAATGATTAAATATTTAGTGACATATACTTATGACGTTACTTCCGTCAGAAAAAGCGTTACTTCCGTCAGAAAAAGTCTGAGTTACTCCCTAGTCGCGCCTAAAGAAGCCAAAACTTGAAAATTGTTATATTCATCAAAAAGTATTTTTAAATTAAAGTAAAGTAAAGTAACAGCCTATACATGTCCCACTGCTGGGCAAAGGCCTCCTCTATACAGAGGGTATCAGGGCATACTCCACCACGCGGCCCCACTGCGGATTGGCGGACTTCACTTATCTTCGAAAAATATTTTTTTTTGTTATTATTTTCGAAAATATGCCAGGTTTCCTCACGATGTTTCCTTCACCGCGGAGCACGTGATAAGTCAGCACTTAAAGTTAAAAACTTCATTGGTGCCGGCACCGGGAATCGAACTCAGGTTGCTCGAGTATATTGAATTAAAGGCGAACGCCCGGACCCTAAGCTATCACGGCTCTTTTAAATTGAATTAATAAAAATATAAAATTTATTCTAACCTTGCTCATATTTTAAGAGATTATGTACTTAACTTCTACAGTCAATACATCAAAACTTATGTAGACGTCTTGAAAACTCTGTGAGTTATGTTATAGCTTTTTTTTTATGCAAAACGTTGCCAAACGAGCAGATGAGTCACCTGATGTTAAGTGAATACCGCCGCCCATGGACATTTGCTACACCCGAGGGTTACAGATGCATTGACTACCTTTTGAAAATTGGGCTCCGGCTACCTCACTCACCAGACGAAACGCGAAAGTATTTGTCATACATCCACTTTACGCCGGTCTTCTGTGAGGTACTTACCGGGACGGGCCTGCCCATTCGTGCAACAGCCGAAGCTGCTGCGTGGCCCTACCACCGTTATTAGCTGTTATTGTTTATTACAAAAAATCTTAACGTAACGCGATATATAAAAAATAAAATTAACGCAACCACCGTGTCATCTTCGAAACCATAATAGTAGCTTCTTATGGTTTTTTTTAGAGATATGATGTCAGAATTGAAAAAAATGCTCCAATTAGCGTTGCGATAGGATAAGTAGGTATGCAAAAAGTTTTCAACTATTTTTGTGACTCGTAATTTAGTTTTTTGCCTCCTCTGTAAAGTCTCATTTTGGCGGTTACATTAATTGATATTTCAAATGACGATATGTAATATATTTCTTTTATTTATAATATTATTTTTATTATTTTTTATATTATTAACCTATATTTTTATAGTTATGTTTATAATTGTTTTTGTAGAGTACTTAAATTAAATATATTAAATATCAATAGTACTCAATAGTAATCATTGCATTCTGTGATTGATATTTAATGTAATGAAGTCAAGATATTTTTACGATGAGCAACAAAAGGAATAAATTATAAATACGTTAGTCGTATCATTAATATAAAGTAAGTAATCAGCGTGTAATAGTTTGTAATGTTTGCAAGACATTTGTGTGCAGGTAGCGTTAAATGGTATAAATAAAAGTCTAAAGCCATCTGTAATCTGTGCCCTTTGCAGGGAACACCGATGCTATAACTTTTCGTATCTGCGAGCGAGTGGCATTGCGCGAGGGAGAACGCTGAACGATAACGACAACGAGACCGGGAGGAGACCGAAGACCGAGTATAGGTCAAGCAGGCGAACGGAGCGTTCATGTGTTTTAAAATTTTAATGCGACGCTTGTGCGATGCGGTACGGCCGGAGCTTTATTTACATTTTCTAACTTAATATTACGCTACAAAAAGTCGTAACGCCTGATTCTACAATAGTATTCAGTGTCTTTACTGTTGGACTTCAAACTTTTAAGAGACTGTTTTATTTTAATTATATGTTCTAGTTGCGAAAAGCTACGACTGAGCTTTGTGGTGCCAATAAGCGAGTAGGTACCTATATCAGTGCATAAACAAAAATAGCTGCCTCTAATGTAGGAGCGTGGTTGCATTTTATGTCGTAAAGACTGAATTTGTGTTACGGAAATTTTTAAAATGAGCTCGCGCACTTAACCACCAACAAGAATGTGCAAAGTACCGGGTGTTGTGATGCTGGCGGTGCTTTGCGCTGCTGCACCGGCCTACGCTAGTTCCCTTCCTCCCGGTAAGCAAGGCTTCGCGCCCTACATTTATTAACACTAGAAATATATGATTTTATTGTTTTACTAGAAAAAAAGACTCAGTCTTTCTACGTCGCCCCCCTTAATATTTTTTAATGTCTAGGTAATTGAAGTATTATAAAATATCTAAAATTACCAATGTATTTAAAACAAATATCACATTTTTGTTATTAATAAATTTCAATTATTATTTCCACGTTTTTATTATTTAATAAGTAAATATATTGTTAGAACAATTTTTTTAAATAGATTCAAAATATTAAACTTTTAATATATTTTTTAGAATCAACTTCCAGTGATTAAGCCCTCTTAAAAACATTTAATATACTGATAACACATGATATTGGTGGTTCCAGAAAACAAAAGCAGTTGACATTATTTGTCAGAATGTGACAACAAATCATAATGATTATGCAGTTACAAATAGACTCTTCTGCCGTATTGATAAGCAAAGTAAAATTACTTGAAATATAGCTTACTTGGAAAAAGGTAAAATATAGTGATAAGATATGTTCCTGCATATGCTTGAATTGTCTACAAAGAGTTATACCATATTATTATTATTAAAATCACTGAAGAAAGAAGAATACATCCTTTGCCTTTTTTGCCTTTTTTCAAATGGCACAAATCAAAATCTCATAAATCTTTTTAGCAACATGCATGTTGCAATATTGGGGTACCCTATTTAATGATTCATGTGTGCCTCCACATGGAATATACAAAATGTACCATGATGAGGCACACATTTTCTACAATTACCTTTGATCACAATGAACTAATAAGATATTGATATAGTTTAAAAAAGAGGTAGCCTAATCTCTTACCAACTACCTAAAGTAGGTTTGATGTCGCATAAACCATTATGTTGGTCAAATGTGTCAGATCTTAAGCCCGTGGCCTTACTGGTCACAAACATGAGATAATGATTTTTAACTACAAAAATACATAAACATTCGTGACTCCCAGTGAAGTAGGAAGTGATTGCTTTTGCATAGTAATTGCAGTATTTTTATATGTAAAAAAAGCCGAAAAATTGTAATCTGCGCACTGCAATTTGGCCGCGCGATCTTAACTTACAAGTACGTACAAGGTGCAAAATACGATGCCACGACATCCAACTTTGTACTGTTCTATGGCGCGGATTATCGCTCACTGAAATAATGTCTTCACAGCTTCACAATACGCCAGGTCTAATTTTTTTTTTTTAAATTTTTAAATATTTTAGGACACACATTTTTACACAACATTCTCTATTCCAAAACTAAGCAACGTTATGAGTACTAGAAAACTGATAGACATACTTAAACATACTTTGTTTTTGTAAATAAATACACATTATACATATATAAACACCCAGACACTAGAAAAACACTATCCTCATCACACAATATTTTTCCAGTAGTGGGGATCGAACCCACACCCTCTGGCGCAGAAGGCAAGTACACTACCGACCAAATAATAATTAGCAATGCTAGTAGCAAATGTAAATGCTATTAGCAATAATAAGTAGCAATGAATCAACCCGAGAATGTGCTTATTAATGATTTTTTGTATTAGTTTAATTATTTTACGAATAAGCTTTGATCTAGTGTCAAATTTTCAAAGGAAAAATCAAGTTAAAAGAAAAATGTTTGTGATTTTGATAAATGTAGTTACCTAGTTACATGAATTGGAAAATAAAGCTGTATATAAAGCTACTGTGGTCACACGCAAGGATCAGATAACAGAAATGTAAGCTCTGTGCAACGAGAGACGCGATCTCACCGCACGGGCCCATGTGGCTAGACCATGGAAAACCTCCGAACGCCCTTCGGAAATATTTAATTATTAGACTACTTTTAAAGGTAACCCGTGTGGGATACCTCTTCTCTAAACCGTGTTTAAAAATTGTTATAAATTTAGCTACGAACGTACATTCACCGAGATTGCGAAATACGCAATGCAAAATTTCATATGAAAAGAGGTTGACGTCCTCTCGAGAGTACTGTGCGACTGTTTGTAGCAAAACGTAGCGAGATTTCGAACGCAATTCTCCGTCAGGGGGAACTAACTCGAAATTAATATAGTTCGCCATTAATTTTTTCTTTGACTGATACCATTATTGTTTTTAATTTATGTGATGTAAATTATTTAATGAGTTTTGTAATAGTAAAAAAAAGATTTCATATTCGCAGTGATGGATTTGATCCGTTGGTCGCCCTAGGGCCTAGGCATATTATATAGGTTTGTTTTTTTAATTCAAAATTGTCAAGGACATGACTGCCATCCCTCCTGATGGTGAGTGGCGATGCAGCCGTTGATGTTAAGCGCGCTAGCTCAGTAAAAACCTTTAAACCCGGGCTTACTTAACCTTTTTTTTTTTTTTTTTGGAATCGGGGGGGGAAATCTTCGTAAGATACCCTGTCATTATATGACAGGGTTATGTGGGGTTCTTACCCACTAAAACCCCCTCGGTGGCCACCTTCTGTACGTTTGGAGGGACTCCGGGATCTCCTACGGAACGCACCGGTGTCCCTCTGTACTGGGCGTGAGCAAGCCGCGGAGAAGGAAGCAAGCCGCGGAGAAGGAGGGCTCTCGCTTACTTTATAAATATCATGCACCGCTTCTTTAGTTCTCATCTCATGGATTCTTATTCTCATTCACAAAAAACACCGTAAGATTCTATGTATGTTTCAAATACTCTAATAATTCATCAATCGTTAGATTAGGTTCTTCAAAAATCTTTAGGTTCTTGCAAAATTTTGTGGTGATGCCTAAGCGCCATTGCCATGCCTTCTCAAAATATTGTTACATAGTAATATGTTAAATTTTCGAGTGACCGAATGAGTGTTAAGCTATAAAAGAAAACACATATAATGTAGTCTGCAGAGTGAAAACCAAAATTGCAGTCTCTGTTTAACTATGAGCCACCCGAAGGAATTCTTTTTATTATTTTTTTTTCAAATTTAAGTACATGTTTAACGACCATCGAATGATTTTGTGTATCTCTCCAAGGCAGTCACGGAAGTCAATGATGACTTCATTGGAAGCCACAAATGGCCTCATGGCGTACGAAATAGCCGGTCGTCTTTGTCATCAAAAAAATTTAACACGCCAGTAGAATGCGCAAAACCCTTAAAAGACCCGAAGTCACCGGCCAGTCCAAGAGAGGCCGATGCCAATCCCTTAAGAGTGAGGATGTGGAGACACGCGGCAGCTTTTGTTGCTGCGCGAATAGGCACGCTGATCACTACCCATTTTGTTTTAATGCTAACGCCGTCTGCAACTCCTATGGTGTTAAGAATGTTATGCCGCTGCCTTTTTCATTAGAACAAATGTGTACTCTAAGGTTCATGTCCCCGCGTCTACAATAACGGAGAAGATAGATATGCTATCGATTCTTATCTAAACGTAAATTCTATAAACTTCGATGCTCTCGTTTTATTCTGTTGAAAGACATGTCTGCCATCTTGTTTATTTATATAGAAGTTTATGTTTGGGCATTGGGAATGACGCCACGGTTAGTATTATCGTCATTTAGATAGGAATCCAACTGCATTAGTATTTATCGTACCCCAGAGACAAGTGCCCACAGAGCGTAGGGTGACGGGGGACGGGTTAAATGGGGAGGGGGGGGGGGGGCAGTGGGGCCACAGGTTATCATCGTCCCGATATTATGCGACACTATGCGATTATTGCTCGCGGCTCGCCGCAGATGCCGCGGCCTTCGGTGCGAGCGTTATTTAAACGCCTAACATGAATAGGCAGTGGACAGGAAAGTTATAATTTGCCTTTCACATTATTTAGCGGGACCATGTATTAAATTACATGCGCGTATTGTTTTCAAGTATCAGAAGGGAAGGTGTCGCCCCAAGCTTACAAGAACTTATTTTATTTCTTGTGTATCGCCTTTTATCAAAACTACTGTAGGAAAGCTGAAGTGTATAATAGCTCTTAGAACCGATAACCGTTCACCTTTGGGTAAGAAAAGTTTTCCAGTGGCAGCCTCGTACTGGCCATCGCAGTGTAGGACGATCCCCCACTGGATGGAGTTACGACCTGTGAAAATGTGGTGGCCTTTGTTCAGTAGTGGACCGTAGTGCGCTGTATGATCTCTTTTGTTTAATTTAATTTTGTACTCCAGTTGGTCAAGCAAAGCGATCACACTTCGCCCTTTTAATGCTTCCATCGAGAATTTAGTACGTTTCGGAGGTTCTTAGAACCGGTAAAGTGTTAATTACTACTTCGGACGTCCACATCGAATATATTTGTCTAAGTATATTAATGACAATCGACTCGCAACCAATATTATATTGGATACAAAACCTGATCTTAAAAAAGCGGCAGGTTATATCTTCAATAAACTTAGCCTCCGCTCGCCAGCCAGTCGCAACTAATTAGATAAGTACAGCAATAAGACTGTCGACGGGCGGACCTATGGGTTTTTTATAACATGTCCGACTAAACGAAAGGACCGGTCTAACCCCGTCCCCCTCTCCCCTCTCCGCCCGCCTCACGTCCCCGCACAGGCAACGTCCAGGGGCATGGATCACTCGTCCATTTGTGTAGTCAAATGGGAAAAATGATAACAAAACATTTACCTACCACTTGTGGCATGAAAACTAAATGAATTTAATGAGTAGAAATGAAGCAATACAAAAGCGATCTCGCGTTTACGCCTCACAAAAAATAGGGATAATGCGCAGGACGGGACGCGTGAAAGGCAAACTCGGACAGGTTTGCTCCAGACGAGGCAATAAACCCGCTGAGGCTGCGGACTCACGGGACGGTCGAGGACTGTCGCGCCCTGACCTAAGGCCCTTTTGGCAAATCTGATGATTCTTTGCAGTAAAGCCTATGCGTCTTCGCGCACAACGTACCACAATTTTGCTTGTGTTTCATGAGCCCTTTTTATATCAAAAAAGCTATATTCTGTTTCATAATAAAGTTTAATAAGTAGTGGTTTAACATATTTTATGTTTGATATTTTTGATGATTCTTAGCC